AAAAATAGTTTGAAAACACAGCTTTAAAGAGATGCTCGAAAATAATTCTCTGAACTGTAACTAGGACTTTCCGCAAGTTGCACGCGATTTTCCAAAACGTTTCCTGTAATTTCTCAAAAAATCGCTCAAACGTTGCTTTTTGTCACGAAAGTTGCTCAAAATTGCTCGAAAAAACAAAAACTTTTTTTGGTCTCATGCTAAAACATGCAAAATGTACGACAAAAGTAAGATTTCTAAACATTTTTGACCAAAAACGTAAAGAGCCAATATAATTGTGGAATGACCTTCTTCACCGGCGACACTCAAGTCAGTCGAGTGTGAATCTTCGTCCACAATTTTGGATTTTCTCTCTAAAAACCTCTGACCTAGCAGCTCGGCTACTTTTATCTTGCGCCCATGATCTTCCACAGGGGGAGGATTTGGCTCTTTTTTTTTTTAAGGATACTTCATAAATTCTCTACTGAAATATGGAAGAAAGGCAAATTTACGCTGTAAAAGCTGCTCCGATATCTCAGCGTTTTTAAGCACGTTTAAATGCCTTTTTGGCCTGCGAAACGTCAAGTTAAAGGTTATATCTGCGTTCAACAGGTTGATAACCATTTAAGAAATTCGCATAAATTAAACTTTTCTATGAGAACGTTAACTTTTTCGCGTTTCATATCGATATGTTCTCTAAACCAATATTTTGCTCAAAAACTCCTTAGAAAGGTAAAAGTTGCTCAAGGTGGCTAGAACCGCAAAAAGTTGCTCCAAACGCCAAAAGTTGCTCAAAAGTTACCGAGCACAATCGGGACAGAACTACTAGAGAGTTGACATTGCGTGACTAAGTGTCTAGTACCGTAAACGTCCGCTCATAAGCCCCCCAGTTATTAGCCCATCTACCTGTAAAAAAAATGCATCCGGTTATAAGTTCCCCCGGATATAAGCCTCCTTCTAGCATGTACTGAAATGAATTCGATTTGTTAAGTATTTTTGAAGCTTAAAAAAGGGAGTAAATTATAAAAGTATTTATATCAGCACTGCTATGTAGCTTTTTTTTTGTCCGGTTGTAAGCGCCCCCCGGTATAAGCCCCCCCCCCCCCCCCCCCTCTACTCGCCCCCCCCAACGCCCCCCCCCCGACTCCAAACACCAGCGGCATCGAGCACGAAATATCAACTATGTTTTACCCCTTCCTCTGTTTCACATACCATTTAACCCCCCCCGAAAAAAACCCCCCCCCCCCCCCCTCCATTTAGAAGCCCTCCTGAAACCCCTTACGAAGTTATATAAAACCCAGGGCTTATAAGCGGAAGTTTACAGGTATTTTCCCACTACCTTTGTATTACCTTACATTTTCTATTTGAAAAAAGGAGCCACCCATCTGAAAATTTTGTGGCCGAATCTATTGTAGAAATATAGTTTGGTACAGTTGGTGAATAAGCCTGTAGTTTTAGCTCCTGAAAGAAGTAAAAAAGGAGTTCTTGGGTATAACGTGGAAGCAAAACGAAATTAAAAGACTTTTCAACTTAAGGCCTGAAATCTATTGTTTAGTATAAATTCATAAATATTAATAAAAATGATGATAAAATACTTCCCAGAAATCATTAATTTATTATATTTGCTTGATTACTCTTGAACTAATCTTGTTTTGCACTGTCTCATTCACATACCCTTGTGATAGTTGGCCCCACATCATCTCTTAATGCCAAGACAGTCTGGGGTGCACTGAGAGGTATGTAAAGGCTGTGACTCAGTTATCTATTCATAGCACACCTACAGGACAAGCTCTCAGTTTCCTTTTATGAGAAGATGTCCACACATATGATATAGTCAATATAGTTGGCTGTCCAGAGCCACGTTTCCCAGATGTCTACCTTTGATAAGTCTCCACGTATCAAGAATGTCTGTCTCGTTCTATTTTGGTGGATGATGGCCAGTCACTCAACCCCCAATTCCCCTCCACCTCCCCCCCCCCCACCTTCTCCCTCTTCCTTAATCTTTCAAGGGTCCTGTTGAGACTCTCCTTGTAATTCTATTAATTTCATTAATACTGTCATTATGTCCTTCATTTAACAGGTCTTGAAACTTTCAGTCAAGCTGTTTACGAGGATGAGACTGGATTTGTGAGGCTTTACTAAATAATTACACGATTTTGTCTCTTAACCTCTTTTGACTTTTCATTATATAGGTGACGTAGATTTTATTATATTGCACATAGTGTCTTAAAGTGGAAGTGTGCAGCCCCTTCCATATCTGGGGCAAATCCAGGACAATCTTATATCCAGATCTCTTGTGGACAAAGCCAGTCGCTCCTACAAGAGATCTGGGTACGAGATTAAATCTAGGAATTTGATTGGCGTGAAAACGAAGAGGAAGAGAATAGATCAGTTTCAAAACATGTAATTTTTGTGTATTCTTTTACTATCTAAAAACCTCTCATTTCAGTACCTTGCCAATGGGTCATCAATCAGTGACTACCCACGATTTCGCCACAGAGGATTCATGATTGACACATCCAGACATTTTTTGGAGCCTTCTGTCATTTTTAAGTTCATCGTAAGTCGCCGTATTCTTGGCGGGAAAAATAAGGTTTCGCACAACCCACCTATTAGAAAAGTTTTGAAGGCACATTGTGGCAGATCTTGATCCCGTGAATAAATACCTGGTAGTTAGTGGATTCAAATGAATGAATGTGTAAAGACTAGAGATATTTTTCACCAAACGGGAAACTTAAGGCGTGTTTAATATTTTCTTTTATAATCTCTATTCAACTGTTGTGACATGCGCAGAGGAAATTTGTGATACTTAACGGTGTCAACTTATCAAGGTATCTTGATAAAGACAATATATACTGTGATTTTTGGAATATTTTATGCGTTTCCTTAGCCTTTCTAACTGAATCGGTTCCCTGTGGTTTTGGGACCCTAAAAAACCCGCCCTAAATAAAAACCTATACCCTAATTGGACTCTACTCACTGGCAGGTGAAGTTTAGGAGGTCAGGTTCTTCCATAATCATCCGCTGTCAAACTTATTCTAATCCGTGGGATGTGCGAAATCCCCCTATGCTACCAGACTATTTGCCTTATTTTGTTTTGTTATTGCTTCTATGGGTTTTAATCAGTAAATTGAACAAGTGCCTTTTCTGCCTGTCCTTAGGAAGCCATGTCTTACAGTAAGTTTAATGTCCTTCACTGGCATGTAGTGGATGACCAGTCATTTCCATTTGTTAGTGACAACTTTCCTGAATTAAGTGGGCAGGTATTTGATGCTTAATTGAGGTGTATACAGATTGTGTATTCACCTAACATTCATTTAAGGCTATGTTTATACAATACCTTGAATACCGGATAGCTTTTGCACCGGCAAGAAAACCATACTGGATGGGGCTTCTTTTCTTACATAAGAACGATGATTTCGGTGCGATTTCTATAACGGAGTGAAGCTTGGTCGCGCCGATCTCGAAAGTGGAGCGTCGCATATCGGATACAAGGTTTTGTGTTACTCACGCCTTGGTGGAGTGTGAACAGGTATATTCGGACCTTAGAGAAGTGAATAAGTAGGAAAGAGGACTGCTGACCCACTGAGACGGAAGTAACTATTCAGGAGTGAGGACCGGAGAACAATCTCGGCCAACCGCTCCGGCACGATGTTTGATGTGTGTGAACGACTTGTTCCAGTTCTGTATTGTTGCTGTTCTGGTACTCGTTCAATATGAAACGTATAGTGTGAAACTAGCCTAAAAAAATCTTTCCAAAGACAAATTCATCAATTTCTTCTTACGAAGCTTGGGATCGAGATTGATGAAGTTTAAGTGCCCTTTCTTTCGCTGGAGTTTGAAAATGAATACTCAGAATTATTGTATTCTTCACAGAACTGTAATACATTTACATACATCGCCCGCCTTGATTAACTCTCGTTTTACATGCGTAGTGTATTTTTTATACATTTGAACCAAGTATTATTGAATTTATGGATAAATAAATGAAACAAAAAGAAATTGGTCGGGGCAGGGGATTTTGAAGGGATCTTCGACTTCTTCCAAAGGGAAAAGGGGGAATCAATGTACCAGTGTTCCTCTTTAGACTGATCGCAATGGGAGAGCTATTTTCAGTGTAATAGACGATATCATAGACCCAAAGTTATAGTATTCAACTTTGGTAACGGAAAATTCAATCGAAGTTAAGCTTAATTATATCTGACGGCGTACTTGGAAAGATTAGAGTTCCAATGATAAATCAGATCATACTTCAAAATGTTCCATTATGATAATAGCAGCCACAGAGAGCCAGGAACCCAATTTTTGTTGCGGAAGCGTAAATGAAACAATCAGTCTGTTAATTGATTCACCTGTTAAGTCACTCAACCCACCAACCAATCAATCAATTAGTCAGTCAACCAAAATTAGTTGATCGTTGTCATTCGTAGAGGTTTTCTTTTCTTTTTTTTTCCTAGGGTGCTTACAACAACAAAACCCACATTTATACAAAAGAGGATGTCAATAACATTATCGAGTACGCTAGGATGCATGGGATCAGAGTTGTTCCAGAATTTGATACGCCAGTAAGGACGACTATAAAGGGTGTATGAAGTACAATGGGATGACAGGTCGCGTGCACGCAACAGCATGAAACCAGCATTTTCACCCACTGAACAGGAGTACAACATATTGGTCTAACGTCACCCAACAATGTTGTATGGTGTTGGGTGCGTTCGAACGGACCTAAGTGTTTTAGTCAATCAAACCCAGGGTCCGCAAAATTTTTTGAACGAACAAACACTTGCATGGATCCGCCTTTTCGTTTACACGGGACCTGCAGAACCGTCTACGTTTTTCAACAACAAATAATAGAATTTGTACGATTCCGTGTGGACGGGTTGCACAGGTAAAAAACTGAATCGCCCGTTCAAAAATTTGTCCAGAGCCGTGTTAACGGGGTTTCACTTGCCAAGTCAGTTCCCATGAATCGCGTTTGCCATTTGCATTTATCAGTTACATTAACCGGAAAACTCCCGTAAATGGCTGAAAGTGGTATCAAATCATGATGGCTTTGAAGAACACAAACGGAACACGGATTTCCGTTTGGAACATTCCGACCTGGGAAACAGGGCTACCTTTTCAGACGTTCTGTTGCTCCCTGGAATTTTCCACCGGAACGACCCTAACAGTCGTGTTCCATTTACTTTCCAGCCGGATCTTCCGGAAACGTTTTGCCAATGGTAAACAACCAAAATTTGCCAATTTGAGCATCGCGGTCGAATTTGTGTATTCTCTCAAAACAATCGAATTTCGACAAGTCTTAATGTTAATACGTCATTGGTGTGAACATCTACTGTTATGACTTCATCCAAAAAAGTAACAGTTATCACTTCGACCCATTATTTTGCATCAACGTCTATAAGATTTTCTGTTGTTTTGAAACTAGACCGCGATTTCTCACATTGCTATGTTTTTAATTGTAGAGTAGGAGTTGACAATCTCATTGACCTTTATAAACATCCAGGAGCCTGTCACAATTTGTTAACAAACAACAAAGGATTGTGCTCCGTCAGGGAGCTCTCTCTTGTAATACACCGAATAAACGTTTGCGGACCTCTCCGGAAACCAACTTCCGATTAATTTCAAGCTTTTAATTGGTCTAAAAATAACTTTGATGACATTCACATCAGTCCCCAGGGCGACACTGGGCGTTACCCTCTCTGTCCCATTATTCTCTCTTAGTATGAGTCATTGAGTGCTCAACCAGTTCTTGCACAACTTGATTTTAAAAACCCCTATAAACCACTGTGGTAAACGCCACATTAGGGTACCTTGAGTAAACGCTAAAAAAACTGTTATATCCTTGTTGGGTTGACTACATATTAATATTTTCTTTTAGGGTCACACTAGATCGTGGGGAAGCATAAAGAATTTATTAACGCCATGTTACTCTAAAGGAAAGCCATCAGGGTGAGAAAACCTATGTTGAAGAACGCTGCGGATTTTGCTGTTAGTTTTTCACGTGTTAACTTTAATGAGTAACCTGCGTTAAGACTCAAAAAGTTAGTTTTGTCTACCAGGTTGTTAAGGTCAATTTGCTATTGTAAAGAATATTTTCAATATCCGGAGTATAGTAGTGTCTTCCTTTCTATTATCCTGATAATAAGGACTTTAATTTTCATCGTGCATTGTGCCTCTTCACCCGATTCCCTGTTTAATAGCAGAGGCCTCTGTACCCTTTCCTCTTTTGCCTAGTTGTATATATGCTAGGTTATTGACCAAACGTGAGGTTAAGATGGCTGGTTATTGACCAAGGTCTTTTTTTTGGCCTTTTTACGGACCTAGTCGAAACAAGAGGGAACTCTCTTTTGTTAGAAATCGCGGTTAATAAAAACGCAAACGCCACTTTCCAGCCATCTCGATCGAGAAAGGTGATAACCCATATGTTAAGCAAATAGTTTATCCGTCTTTACCTGTCCAATCATCCTTGCTTTCAATGTCAAGGATTTATTACATGTCTAAAAGACCTTCTTACGGGGCCAAAGCGGGAAATCCCGAGCGGGCAAGATAAGCCCATCTTGCCTGCTCAAAAAGCCAATCAGAACACAGGATTCGCTTCGTCTTGCTCCCTTCCTGAACCAGCAACATGATGGGTCACGGTTAGTAGCAATATTCATAGGCGCATGCTTCAAACTCCAGGAACTAGACAACTGATTTGTAGGTTCCGGCTAAGCTCTGCCGTCGCCATACATCAGTGGATTAGCGTCCAGGTGGGGTGAGGGGGGGATTGCCCCCTTTCCGATAAACAGTTATGTACCTTTCCGTTACTTTTGCAGGTCATATGGACCAATCAATCCAACTCTGGACTCCACCTTCACATTTTTGAAGACGTTTTTCTCAGAAGTTGCCGAGAGATTTCCTGATCATTACCTTCACTTGGGAGGGGACGAAGTCGGTGATAAATGTTGGTATGTGAACGCACTAGGTTAACAAACGAAGGAATGTAAGTGCTTTACATTGGCTGCTTCTTAGTGTTGATCTATCAAAAAATGTCTGGACAAATATGTTGTTGTGGTGTGAATATTGTTAGGTATCTTTTCAATTTTTAGTGTTCATGCGCACGCGTTTTTTGGTGATCGAACAACCCGAGAAGTACCAAAACAATCTTCTTGTTTTCCTCTCCTTACAGGGCAAGTAATCCTAACATTACAGCGTGGATGCAGAAGATGGGATATGGACAAAACTATTCTCTTCTTGAGCAACATTACGAACAGAAGTAAGTTGAGCCTCATACTAAGGACGTTACTGGATAGAGTCAAACCTCTGCTGACGGCTATCCCAGGGGTGTAGGGCCATCCCAGGGATGTAGGGGGCGGGCATGCAATGGAAACGTGGGTAGACCGGGTGTCAAGTTCAGGAAAAGAAATATCATCATGGAAATTTCGGGTCGTAGTTGTGCAGTGACGGCGAAAAATTGTACTGTACTAAAAAGTGTGATGCTCGTGCAGAATTATTGTTTTGCTTGTGTTTTTGTCCAGGGTGACAAAGGGGTTTTCCGTGACGTGTGATGGGACCCAAACAGTATCAGCGTGATGCGTGATCGCGCCCAAATTAGCCACGAGGCGTGAATGGGCTTCGGAGTGTGATGCGTGCTTTACTATTTTCACAACGTGTGAAGCGTGATTTTCCTTTGAAATGTTCATGATGGTTAATGATTATCGTTTGAAACTAGAAGCAGAGGCATTTAAGATAGATATTTGTGACACCAACTTCTTGCCCTTTTCCCTCGTTCCCCGACCTCTGATTTCATCAGATCAAATGTTAATAGGATACTTGTTAATGTCTATAATATTTTATTTTATTTTCCGTGATGCGTGATAGCTTGAAAAAAAAAAAAAATTGGCGTGATGCGTTTGACGTTCCCATCCCTAATGCTGTCGTGGCCACATAAGCTCTCTACTGGTAAACTAAATTGTAATTGTAATTGTACGTCTGTATGTACAGCTCATTAATGACGATATGCAAACGTGATCCTAAGAAGGTCTTTTGGAAATCGAAAGAAAAACAACAAAAGCCAAATGTTGGTGAAACCCTTGCGATGACATATGATTTGTTATGATGTATATAGGACCCTGAATTATCACGTGATTCATCCCTGAATTCTTGTCATATTTTCAGCCTCCTACAGATAGTAGCCGCCCTTGACAAGAGTTACATTGTGTGGCAAGAAGTTGTTGATCGTGACATCAAAGTCCTCCCTGATACTGTGGTGAATATTTGGAAAGGTGGCTGGAAGAATGAAATGGCAAAAGTGACGAGCAAGGGGCTCAGAGCAATTCTTTCATCTTGCTGGTATCTCAACCGCATTCATTTTGGAATAGACTGGTCACAGGTACTTTTTGCTTTTATCAGGCTTAATTCAGCCTTTGACTAAGATGTTAAGTGCCAGTGACAGTTGTACTTGTAATGTAACGAAATTAAACTGGACCTCTTCTTGTTCTTTTTCAGTACTATACTTGTGATCCAACAGACTTTACTGGTAAGAAATCAGTCGCACTGATGAGGAGGAGCGAATGAGGCCAAATAATTATATCCGAAAAAATCCTATTAGGCCAAAACGAGACCCAACAAGAGTAAAGCAATGGCCAAGAACCTGATACACGAAAAGAAAGTTCTCTTATGAACAGAAGTTCTCCGAGTTATTTTCACGTGTTTTGAGTTTTTTGTAAACCCACAGAAAAAGAAGTCTGCAAAATAGTCTTTTTCTTTTCTTTTTAAATTTTGCGGTTAAAAAGTCAGCCAAAAATTTCTAACCCGAGAAAAAGTTCATATATCTTTAATGTCAGACGCCAAAAAAGGACTTCGCACCTCCCCATCACTAGTTATACCCGAGTGCTCTTCTCCCTCCTCCCCCTCCCCCCTGCGCCAGGGGTTCTGCTTACAGCGCGTAGTTACCCTGCTTCCTCGTCGCGAGCTTGAGATAGTTATTTAGCGGCTGAGCGTAACGAGCAAAAAATGACTTTTATTCTTTGTTTTACCGGGTACCGAAATACGTACAAAGTCTTTCTTTTCTTCACATAGTAGATACAAGTAACATTTTCGTAAACTTGTCGTCAAAGTTAGACAGATGCTCGTCAAAAAAGAATCTCCATCGAGCAAACTGCACTAGAGGGGAAAATGACGACGGCGTTATTAGCGGTTATCGTAGTGGTAGTAGTAGTGGTAATGGTAGTGGTAGTGGCAGTGGGGATGGTAGTCGTAATGGTGGTGGCAGTGGCAATAGTGGTGGTGGTGGTGGTGGTGGTAGTGGTAGTGGAAGTGGTGGTGGCAGTGGCAATGGTGGTGGTAGTGGTAGTGGAAGTGGTGTTGGCCGCGGCGGCAGCAGCAGTAGTACTGAGTTGTAGCAGTAGTAATAAAATTGAGTTTGAAGAGGCATATTTGTTTTCTAAAATAGGGGTCACTGTCTTTGATGTTTTGATCATTTTCTCTGCTTGTTATTTCAGGCACAGACAAACAAAAAGAGTTAGTGATCGGCGGTACAGGTTGTATGTGGGGAGAGTATGTTGATGGAGGTAACATACTTCCAAGAACCTGGTAAGAATTTCAAAGAACCCTTTTTTTGATATTTTATAGTCCATTTTTGCGCGGGAGTGTCAAATAACTCTTACTTTCGCAGCAAGTCTTAAACTCGCGTAAAATCTTGGCGGTTTCCTTTGACGATATCAGTCATTGGTTTCTGAATTTGCTATCAGTGATTAACAGATTCATTGAGAAGGTTCCCTCAGGTAGTTAGCATTAAGTTAAATGATTGTGTGTTTTTAGAGATGACGCCAAAATGGAGCAAGTATGGTACGGTGTGAGACTGAAATGCTTCAAGAATGATGAAAGGGAAAAAAGAGGCCCAGACTAAGGCTTTCACAAAGATCTTCTCTTTCTCCGCAATCTTTTTTATTTCCCCAGGCCCCGCGCTCTTGTAGTAGGAGAGAGACTGTGGAGCAGTAAAGAAACCACCAATTTAGCTGACGCTACTGGAAGACTCTGGGAACACCGCTGTCGTTACGTAAGGTACGATGTCATAACCCAAAATTATTTTTTAAAAAAGGATACCAGCAATCAGTATTAGGAACTGAAAGTGTTCCCTGTCGTCTGTTGCTACGGATGGACAAGTATGGACATGGATTGAAACTTGATAAAGTTTTATTGCTATACCTGCATAAATCACCAAAAAAAAACCATATGTTCTTCATAACTCTAAAGAAGCATTTCGTGTATCAGACTTTCTAAAAGTCCTTTTATTTTTTTTCCTGGTTGGTTATGCCATATTGACTTCGTCGTTCACTCGGTCGCTGCGCGACCTCTGGCATTGAAGCTCGCTTCGCTCACTTTTAAAAAACTTATGAGAGGTCGACTTGTCAAGTCTATTTGTGTGTTGGTTAAGGCGCTGCACTTGGCAATAACTTAAATCCCAACAGATTAAGGCCTGCGCTATAGAGCTAAAATGCTTAAGGGTTAGTGCATGTAACAGCGACAAAATCATGTGCAGTTCACAGAAGGCTCTGCTAAGGCTGGTTTCCACATGACCACTACGATCACCAAGAAATTAAGAAAAATTCAAGACACCGTAACAATCTCATGAAAACTCCACTTCAGCATCCCGCTGAGATGAACCTCAGTTCCTTGTCACGCAGTTTCCTAATGATCGCTGAACTTACCAGGGAACATGAACTCAGCCTGTCGCACTATTTCTTAAACTAATTATTCAGTAAACTTTTCTTCCAAAAATGGTTTTAAGTGACGTGCAGCGCACACGTAAGAACGTGTTTCCCAATTACACGAACACGAAGATGTTTCGTCTTTGTTCAAAAAAAGGACTATCGTGAAACTTTTACCTCAACATGCCCCATAAAGGTCCTCACGACGAACGTCGCATCACATGTTGCAGTGACAAATTTGACCTAAATCTGCGTTGAGCAAATTTGATCGAAGAGTGTCAGTGCGCACAAAGACACGTGACTAGGCATCAGACTCCTACTCGATTACCAGCCGCTATTCGGGAAACGAGCCTGTACTCCTCTCCCGAAAAATCTCTTCTCTCTTCTCTGGGAGGTTAAAAAACGGACCCGAGAGAGCGATGGAAATCAAGCCTACTTATCCCCCTGTGTCCCAAACTTTAATGGTTATTTTTTGTCATCTAACAGGCGCGGAATTCCTGCGGAGCCCGGTGTCAGATCCAAGTACTGCAGATCCGAAACTCGTTTTAATTAAATGACCGTAATATAAACCACACGCCCCTTCATACATGTTTTGCCATGAATTTCAGGCTGGACTGTGGGCAAACTATTAGTAATAGAAATGTTCGTAGAAAGACTCTTAGGGGTCAGTTATTTAAACGGAGTTTAGCCAGCCTTTAACAAACCCGCGTTCTAAATCATTTTCAGTTTGCCGAAAGCAAAGCATTTATCGTGAACAGTTTCATGCAAGCATATAAAGTAGACTAGAAAAGCATTTATCTTCTAAAATAATCCACTAGGGAAGAGATCGACAGGTCCAAAGATTTCCTAGACCGCGGTCTAAGTAAGACTTCGTTTAAATAACCGACCGTTCAGTCCCACTAGAGGGAGGGTGGTGGTGACATTACTAACTGATTTTCAAAGGAGATTTTTCTTCATTTAAAATATAATGGTTAGTTTTCATCATTACACTTCAAAAATAATTATTGAGCAGAGCACCAGTAGAACTAAAATGAGCAAAACAGTATTTGTGTGAAAGCTTTTAATGGTACTTAAACTAACAAACTTGTCTAAAAAAAGAGCCCTCTGCCCGCTGAGTCAGTTAAAGGCTGTATGAATTGATGACTATCAACTTTCGTGACTACAAAAATCTTCCGCAAACACAATTTCTGTGGGCGTTTTGATCAATTTACAAGCAACAACCTGCATCTGTAAATCTAGGGCTTCATGAAACTGTATATTAAAACTAGTTTGCGGCAATTTACAATAAATTAACTGGACGAAATAAAATGAGATCTTAAACAAAACACTTCCGTCTTTTCTGACTCCTAACTTAGACCCGACATTTTTCAAACTGCTGCTGTAACCCACTGTCTAACCAACACAAGGAAACTAAAAAACGAGCTTTCTATGCTACGAAGTTGTGGCTCTAAAAGTCAAATGCGTGCTAACCCATCCTTGCATACTCCAGTACTACTGTTGACTAAGCGAACAAGGCTATCGGCCGTAGGGATGAAATCCCCGGGAAGCAGATGAACCCCTCCCAAACGACGCTGTCTCGCCTCCATACCCTGGGGCAGCCCCTGGGTATCCAGCAGGGTCGGTAGATCCGTAGGAACTATAGCTGTTGTCAGAAGGAAAAGAAGAACCTCGGGCGGGTCCATACTGCAGATCTTGCTGTTGGTAGTTACCCAAGCCTGCAATGAAACGTAAACCGTTTAAAGGTGCTACGGCGAGAAGAGCTTTGGACCTCAGCAGTTCAAAAGATGGACAGCAATAATTACGTGCATTTCCTCTAACAAACGCCTAACCTCATATAAATGTATGCACCCTGTTTTTCACCCACGAATAGCAATTAAAATGTCCCTCTAGTCTAATCGACACCTCTACCAATAAAGTGGCCCTCCTTAACGAGTGCATATTACAAAAATGTATACATCAAAGTGCTACAGTTTTTCTTTCATTTTCATTATCAACCAGTGAAAATAAATTGTGATCATTTGTTTGGTTTGAGAGCAATGAATAATGCAAAAAAAGAAACAGCCGGTCCTGCTTAAACGTACCAGCACAAGCACAGTTTTGACAAGCAAAGTTTTGACATTGAAATCTAACCCATAGGTAACTAATAATTTCATGGGTATGGCCCCCTTGCAGAATACGGTCCATGGCAAATGATGTAGAGGGGGGCAAGAAAAACAGAGATTATATTATTCAAAAAGCTGACAATCATTCTTTTCAAGGTCCCACTGCATCGTTTGCCATTCCGCAAGGTGTTTTTTGTACAATATGATCGTGTTCCGCAGAGGGCCCACTGATAACCTAATAAGGTGTTATTGCACTAAACCAGAACTAAGAACTGCCTGGACAGATGGGTAATTTTGGAAATTACTGTAGACATATTGTTATGAAGAAAACAGATCTGGCCAGGGCTATCACCAGGATTTCAAGTCGCTGGGTATATCCAATTAGTAGGCCGGGAATGGAACAGCTTGGGATTCCATTTGGTTTTATTTTTCTTTTGTTCCCTATGAAAGTAGCCAGGAGTCATGCTCACAGTAGCTGGGGGAAATCCCCTGCCCCCGACCCTTAGTGACAGCCATGCCTGATTAACATTCAAGTCCCAAAGAGTAATCAATAACAATTTTCTCCTAGTAATATCCATGCATCATCAAAAGAAATGGTTATGAGAACACATAAAATGATCATCAAAGGGAAATGCTCTAATCTTTGATAAAATTTACCCAACTCATTATTTAAGGAAATGTATAGAGAAAAGTCTGGAGAAGTTGTTTCTGGATATTGGGGCTCAAAGGGCCAACGGAAGAATTCTCTTTAAGTAAGCATTATTTTTTCAGGTGTTGGAGCAAAGGCAAGGCAAGGGTATAACAGGCTTGGAGTGCCAGATATTTGTAACAAACTTGGTGCTTGCCTTTGCTTTCATTTATGGACCCCAAAAACATGAAAAAATAATGCCTGTTCTGCAGGCTTCTTCATGACTTAAGTGATAGCAGTACCCTTGCTGTAACGTTACACTTACCATATGCTGAGTAGTCTGGTGCACCTGTGCTATCGACTGGTGGAGCTCCAGGTGTTGCTCCAGGCTGGCCAGCCTGTGTTCCTTGCATTCTGTTGTAATCAGGGTAGCCACCAGTTGCTGCTGCTGCTGCTGATGATACTGGAACTTGCTGTGCACCAGTCATTCCATACCCAGCGCCATATCCTTAAATCATACACACAACATTTATTTTCCATCAGTTTAACATGGTTCGTACAACAAACAACATTCAATGACTTTTCAAGGACAAATACCATAACTGTCTTGAATTCTCCCAACCCCTCTTGTGTTTATATCAGGCCATGCAAACACGGAAAACGTTTTCTATTGCTTAAACATCACATCACCTGGAGCAGCTCCTCTTGAATACATGGCTGCTACTGCAGCAGCATTGGGATCACCTGCATAATGGGTGGCTGGAGGAACACCAGCTGCTCCTGTACAAACAAAAAGAAATAATAATAATTAAATTCATCCCCAATGGTACTACAGTGGAACCTTGATACAACAAAGGGCCAAGGGACTGGCAAAATGTGTTCACTTTTAAGAGGTTTCGTGATTTCAAGGGTTTTTTTTTTTCATTATTTTACTATTACTAGGGTAAAGAAAACCGTTTGTTAAACTGAGGACTGTGTTCTGTAGAGGTTTGTTATATTGAGGTTCCACTGCATAAGCAGAAAACTGAAGGAAAATTCCAGATTACATTTTGCAAGATGTTGCACATCAAACAGAACTATGCCAAAGTGGAGCAACTCTCAACGGCCAGCTCTAAAAGAATAATATTGGCTTCAGTGGAAAATACCATAATATTCTTTAAATTTCTGTTTGGGTGGTGTTTCTTGTAAACCTTACTTTTGCAATATCTTTTGTTGTCTGCACAATTTTCACCTGCAATACATCAGCACCTCGTAAATTTGCACGCACAATTTATACAAAAAACAAACAATGCTGCAAAAGTGAGGTTTACATGAGGCACCACCCAAATAGCAGTTTAAAGAATTTACTTTCTGATCTGGCCAATTAAACAGTGTCCCTAAAGACCAGTCATATAGTGATTTGTTACACAGCCCAGAAAGAAAAACCTTTATTTGTACAAATAAGTTGATGCAATAATAATCTTGGCCACCAATCATAATTCAAGAATGAAATTCTACTATCATTTTGTAAAGCGTAGTTCTTGAAATGTTGCCTTGCCAAAGACTATTGGTGGAAAACATTTTTAGGGTGATGTTACACAAGACGATTTGCAAGGACAATTTTTAGCGCAACACAGCGTTTCAATGTTGGAGCTATATTGTA